AGACATTAACTACGTTCTTGTGTATATTTCAAAGCACTTGGGTGTGACCAGAGGGTTCGGCCAGCACACTATGCTCAGGGGAAAGGCAGGACGGACATACAACCAGATTATGACCAGCACCATTAGTACTGGAACTCTGCGCTGGCTGCAGAGGATGGAGACGGAGCACATATGGGAATGCCCCGGGTGCTGTGATGTCAATTCTTGACTCAACTAATCTCCACTCAGCTTGTAAATATTTCACTAGAAATGCCAGGTATGCAACACTCTCTGGCAATAGGAACCTACAAGGAGTGTTGGGTTTGTGGCTTCCAGGATTCAAGACCCTGCCATGAGGAGACTGCCTCAACATATTTAATGGAATGCGATCTACGACTAGTGTTTCCCATCTGCTGTTCTGCCAGTGAATGAAAGAAAGCAAAAGAAATAATCCAAACCCAGCCTCGGGGTCTATGTAAATGGTTTCCAACTGTTAGTGAGACCCTTTGGGGGGTTAGGGGTCACCTAAGACCATCAGAAAACTCATATTTACTGAAGTTATGAAGTAGCAATGACAATAATTGTATGGTTGGGGGTCACCACAACATGAGGAACTGTATTAAAGTGTCAGGGCATTAGGAAGGTTGAGAACCACTGCTGTAGGACAGTCAGAAGATTTACTATGCAAATGTAATCACATGGCAAATACCCATGAAATTTAATATGCAAACATTTACATCAGGGGAAATTTGAAGAAAAAAAAGTTTGTTTAGAAACTTCCTTCAATCACAAAAAAGTTTCAATATTCAACAAAACAGGTTCAGTCATTTTGCATGCTTTTAACAGTCTAGGAGAGTTTAAAAAAAAAAAAAAAACAGTTTCACCTGGACATTAAAAGATGAACTACAATAGTTTAAAAAGACAGCTTTCAGGTTCAAGCTAAAAAGGTTGAAAAGGATATTCGAATTTCAATTGGACATTCAAAGATGAGCTAGCATAGTTTAACCGATATTCCCTGTGTTAATTTCTGGGACCCCGTATTGAGGTCGCAGGAGGGATAGACCCAATGCCCCCCAACACGCAAGTCCTAAAAGGTGACTAATTATGGATTTGTTGAAAGTCGATGTGTTAGGCTGGAAGGTCCAGATATCACAGCCTAGCTTATAAACTGCACTTTTAAGCATGAACACTGAAGTACAAGAAACAAAAAAGATACACATTCAGATACAAGCTAGAAAAGTGTAGAAGGGTGTCAGAGTTTTCAAGAAACATTGAAATAGGAGCTAAGCAAGTTCAAACTATTCAAATGAACTTACCAGTCAATCTAGAAAAGTGCTCAAAAACATATCAAATGAATATTAAATGACAAGTTTCCCTGTGGTGGTTTTGGGACCCCCTTTGTAGGGGGAGGGAGGGGGAGAACAGACCCACTGTTCCCCTAAAAAAACAAATCATGCCGTAAACACTGATTATTTAGGGAGATTTCCTTTGAATTCAGTGTGCATCTGCTTGAGAGGCCAGCAAACAGAAACAACAGTTTGCTCACAAATAAACCAGATCTGTAAAAAGGATGTGCAAGCAAAACTCAAGTTCGGGAACAAGAGTAAAGTCCAGAAGTGGATGAAACAGCAGAACTTTCCACTGGAGTTTACAGCTGGTGAACACGAAGAAGAAGACAAAGAAATAATCAGCTAGGAGTTTGCAAATATATCAGAGTCTCAAATGCACACTCAAATATGAGCTAGGAGAATGCAAACTGACATTAGTGTTTCAAATTCTGCTCCCAGACTTAGAACATCCTTTCTTTGTGGGTCAGCATTCTGGGTTGAGGCCTGATGCATGCTGGGTTGAGGCCTGATGCATGCTGGGTTGAGGCCTGATGCATGCTGGGTTGAGGTCTGATGCATGCTGGGTTGAGGCCTGATGCATGCTGGGTTGAGGCCTGATGCATGCTGGGTTGAGGCCTGATGCATGCTGGGTTGAGGCCTGATGCATTCTCTGATGATTCTGGTCACTGTGTGAAGCTGGTATGCATATTCTTCATTCATCATCATCATCACCATTGAGTTCCTTGATAATTGGCATGGGCGACTACGCCTCTCCACAATCTTCCATCTTCAACAACATGTATTAGTTCGTATGCGGACAAGAAGGCGTTTACCAGCAGAGCAGGCTCTGTGGAGAGCCTCTAGCAAGGTAAGGCACTCAAGACGCCTTGGTCATCCACTGCACCTAGGTCCATTTCCAATCGTCTCGACATTGTCATGCCATTGGATCAAGATGGACACAGGTGAGAGAGTGAGGTGGGCGGATTGTGCAACTCCACCTCACTTAAATCCAAGTTCTTGTGCAAGTCACTTTTACCTAGCTATTATCATTATTATCAATCCCATCACTACTGTGAATGAAAGTTGTCTTCATCGCTCATGATGGATGAACAACACATGGCATGACAAAGGGCTGTCAATACAGGGCAGACTGCTTAAACTGATCTCAGGTGTGGCAAATTTTTGTTGTGAAGAACAATTTGTTCAATCCCTGACATATTTTCTTGCTTGATTTGTTATCCAAATAAAAGATATTTCTGATAATGAAGAACCATTTCTTAAGTCCCTGGCGAGTTCTACTTATCAGGTCTGCAGTGTAATCGTCTTGTCTTCCTCTTTGGCCTTTTCCACAGATCTTTCTAGTGGTCACAACATGTTCCAGCTTCCCTTTTCTTACAACATGCCCAGAAAAACTATGATTGTCTCTTTCTGATATTTGTGATAAGTGGTCTGAGCCCTCGCCTCTTTCAAAACATCCAGGTTTCTTTTCTGGGAATTCTAAGAGGCCTTGAAAAATTGTGTCTTTATTTATTCTTCTTGTTCACCGGCTATAAACTCTGGTGGTTGTTTGTCCACTTCTGGACTCTAGTCCTGTTCCAGAAACTGAGTGTTGCATGCACATCCATTTTACATGTGTGACTCTTTGTATGCAGACTGTTGGTTCCCTGACTCTCAGGCCGATGCTCTCCGACCTCGGAGGAAGCTTCTAGTTAGTCGACTCTTACGATGTGCTTTTGGACAGGCAGCAGGTCTATTCTTGTTTTCCCTACAATGGGGCCCTGGAATCCACACAGGGATCTTTATTTATTAATTTTCTGGTATGTAAAATTTTGCCTAGAAAACCAACAACAGACCAAAAATGCTGGGGATGGTTCTGCAACGTCCTGTAAGGGTATGCAACTAACTTTTCTGGAAATGTATAGGACACTGTGTGTCATTACATGCTGAAAAGGGCTCTTTAGCTGCAACAATTATTTTGCCATTCATGACTGTTTCATTGGGAAGCTTAGTTCTACTTCTCAATCTGGTTGGGTTAACCATCTTTGCATCTGTTTATTTTACATAAGTTATGTTCATGCTAAAACATCTACATTTTACACAAGTTATGTTCATGCTAAAACACATTGGGTATATTTGAGAAAATATTACAAATAAATTAAGTATCCAACAAAGAAATGTTTCACCAATTCCATGCTTCAAACTTGCCCTAGAAGATTTTAAAAAGTACACAAGAATATTAAATACACATTCAAAAGGACATTCAGAGATTAGTTAGGGAAGTTTTTACACATATACACACACACACAAATCCATTTCAAATATACACACACACACAGACACAAAATGAACTACAAATGTTCAAAGAGACAACAGTTTCAAATACACATTCATACACAGTCAAAGATAAACCAGGGAAAATATCGGAACAATTGTTTTTAGCTGGAAATGAACATTAAAAGAATAACTTGCTAGAGAGGGAGGAAAAGGATATCAAGACTTTAAATGGACAATAAACAGGAGCTAGAAGGGTTGACATTGGATCTTCACTGGAGCTAAAGAATTTGTACTTTGTGCGATGCTCTCGGGAGGCAGCTGGCGATTCTGCAGAAAGAAACCAAGCCATAAGGCAGCGGTTCTCAACCTGTGGGTCGTGACCCTTTTTTTGGGGGTCAAGCAACCCTTTCACAGGCGTCACCAAAGACAATCACAAAACACAAATTCACTGAAATTATGAAGTAGCAATGAAAATATTTCTATTATTGGGGGGTCGCCACAACATGAGGAACTGTATTAAAGAGTTGGGGCATTAGGAAGGTTAAGAGCTACTGCCAAAAGTGGTAATGTGGCAGTCAAGTCAACTTTTTTTTTTACCTTGACTTTAATAAGGACATCTTATTCTCCAAGACTGACTAAAAGAATCAAAAATACATCACAGTTTCAAAAGTATAAAGAACACCTCATCTATTTGAAAAAAGACATCAAATTTCTAAAGAATATTCAAACATGTGGGGGGAAAAAAGAGTTCCAAACAACACTCAGTCGCAAATGCACATTCTCCCTGTGTGGGTTTCTGGACTCTATTTTGGGGGAGAAGAACAGATACAAGGCCTTCCCCCCCCCCTCCCCCACAAGCATGTCATAAAAGCCAACTAATTAGGGGTGTTTCCTTCCAAGTCAGGAATGCATCTGCCTGAGAGGTGAGGAACAAACAGTCTGCTAACAAATAAGCCAGACCTGTAAAAACTCAAGTTCTGGAACATGAACGAAGTTCAGAAATCGACAAACTTCCAGAACTCGACAGCCGGGGAACGCAAAGAAGGGAAAGACATACGCATTCAAAGATGAACTTGAAGAATTTTAAAACAAAACACACAAAATCTCTCAAAGAGTTGTAAAATGAAATTAAACGTGGACAGGCACCCCAGCATCCTAAAAAAGTGCTGCAGACAGGCTCTCTTATACAGTAAGAGTTCCCAGGTCTGGCAAGTTATCATTACAATGAAAACCATGAATGTATGAATCAGTGAAGGACACGCGTCATACCACAGCCTTCATAGAGGCCTGTGGCCTTCTCTTTTGAAAACCGCTGACAGGGAGAACAAACAGAAATTCGTACTCAATGAAGAACTTGGAGGATTTTAAAAAAACATACAGTCAGTTTCAAGTAAACTTTTGCAGACCCGACACACTTCTTCATGAGTTGTCAAGAAAACCACTTCCTCTTCTCAGCCGACACAAATGTGCTTCATACAACATCTGATTGATGGAAAAGTAAAAAGGGTTCTCCTCCATCCCCAACTCTGGATCATAGACTTCGGATGGCAGCTGCTGAAGGTGGTATGGATGACTGCATTCAGGCATGCCTTGGAGGAGTGGATTACCAGCTGGATCATTTTGGATACCGTTGTGGATATCATGGCGAAAGTTACTGTGGATCGCTGGGTGATCATTGTGGTTAGACGAATGATGCAGAACCTGGTGGTTGTGCTGGACTCTGTTCGGGTCAGTATGCGAAGTTGGCATGCACAGAAGACTTCTGGAATCATCCAAGCTGAATGTGTGATCCACCTTGTGCTGATGTACCCCATTGGAAGAACTTGGATCACTTAATGAATGGCTGAAATGAGCAGCTGCTCCAGCCATGGCATGTCTCTGATCTGCTTCAGTTTGCAGGTTGTGTTCGTGTCCATTATGGTGTGAGGTTCTCATAACGGAAGCATGCTCACCCAATGATTCAAGTCTACATGAGCCAACCAGATGTGGTATTTCTGAAGGGAACTGATGACTAGCATTAGCAACAAATGAGGAACCTGCAGCTCCAGCAACATCTAATCCTTGTGGAGGAGCTCCTTGGCTACTCTAAAAGACAATCAACAAACAGAAAAGGATTTAACTCAGTTCCATATGGTTTCAAAGTAGAAACTCACTGCTACAATAATCACAGTGAAAAAGGCATCAGTGTATGAAATTGCAGCATATACTGGGTTGCTTTTAAAATATCTGGCCAGATTTCTTTTGCATACCTAAACCAAACATGAAATAAATTATATCACAACATGTGTTGTGTTGATACACATAAACATAAGCTGAGTGCATATGGTGAGTTGTTTATGACATAAACAGTTAGGGACCCTTTTTATGCCACCGGCACACTGGACACATGGTGCTAATCACATACTTTTACAGAACAACTGACACTTGATTCATGAGTGGTCAACATCATGCCGGCCACCTTGACTTCCCAGGACCTGCTGCCTATCTCAGACTGTGTGGAACTGGGAGCCCAGATCTTATTACAAATTTATACAAGACCATGAAATATTAATGAGATATGTGTATATATGCTTAGTCTTTGAAGCCAGATGACTGGGAAACACTTGTGGACTGAGGATGGTAGAATCCCTAAGGATATCTTGTATAGTGAATTACAGATAGGTAGAAAATGTTGAGGACAGCTTCTATTATGATATAAAGAATTTAAGATGTGTTAATGTAGGACATGAATGATAAGGTATTGAGGTGGATCCACGGGGAAGAGGATTCCATGGACTGTGATGTACTCAGGAGGAAGTCAGGAAGGGAACAGAGGCAAATGAGAAAGTGGATGTAGGTTAACAGCTGAGCAGCTGAGAAGAAAGACAACAATGGTCAACACAGTAATGGTCCTGACAACTCATGCTCTAACTGTATAAACTGTATAAGACTTTTTGTTTTGTTCAACATGAATGAGTCTTGCTGGTCACACTCGCCATCACCACAGGCTGATTCCCATGCGCCCCTCTAGCACAATAAAACACTATCCTATCGCTGGAGCACAATAAAACACTATCGTCTGGAAAGACGGAAAGGTGCAAATGTTAACAAATAGTCATAATGGCATAGTGCCTAGTACCGCTGCCTGTTAATACAGAGGTCAGGGTCCAATCCCTAGGGCAGATGGGGTTTTCACCAACCAGTATGACCAAGAAGTCAGCTCAGTCTCACTTAAAATAGGAATCAATTTTCAGAATAGGTAAGAACACTGTAACTGACCATGCATGTCATAAGGGGCGATTAAGGAGAATTGATGCCAAGCTGGCTGCCTCATCCTGTAGGACACTAGCTACAAAATCTAACCACTATACTGAAAGTTGAAAATGAAAGAAGAAGATAAAGAAGTTAGAGACACAGTAAAAAGCCGACTCCAGCTTCTTCTCAGTTAGCTGAGGGCCTATACTACATTAAAGACTGAAAGATAGAAAAAGAAGAAGAGAAAGAAGGAGGTAGAGGCAGAGTAAAATGAACTGAAGGACAAGGTGCAAGAGGATAAGGCTCAGTATGAGGAGGAATAGGAGGAGAAGGAGGAGGATAGACAAAGAGGAGTTGCAATGCAGAAAATAATAACAAGCTTACCTGTGAGCACACTCCCTGAGTTTGTGATCTGCAATGCAAAAATAACAGAATACAGAATGGCAAACAAACACGACACTAGAACCAATTTTTGCTGGTAAATTTTACCATAAATGAAGTTGCACAAAGGGTACTTTTAATGCCATTGCTGCATCAGGCATATGATGTTAAACCCTATTTTTACACAGCAGTCAGCCTTCTGTGTGTGGTGTGGTAAACATCACACCAGCCGCCTTTACTTCCCAGGACATTACCTGGTACCCATTTTAAGTTGGAACCTGGTACCCATTTTAAGTTGGAACCTGGTACCCATTTTAGGTTGGAACCTGGTAACCATTGTAAGTTGGAACTACCTGGCAGCCAAGGTCAATTTTGACAAAAATCTGCATCAACCCAAAACCTTTGGGCCAGGAGGCAAGTGTCTAACTGCTTGGTACATCTCAGATTTATAAAAAATTTTGCAATAATACATTTATAATAAGATCTACCAGCCTCTCCAAACGATACTACCAGCTCGGTACATAGGAAGAAGAAAAGAGTTCAGGGCCAGGTTTAGACATGAGGCCCTAAGCTGTAAAAGGTCCTGAGGCCTCTACCATTTTAAATTACACCTATTTTCAGAAACCCCACTCCAAGACGTGGAGTCGTACACCTATTTAGGCAGTAATGTAGATAAAGATGGAGGAACTGATAGAGATATTAAAATAAGAATACAAAAGGCAAGAGGGGCTTTCATAGCACTAGGGAATTTGTGGAGGTCAAAAGAAATTAAAAGAAATACTAAACTAAAAATTTTTAATTCTAATGTCAAATCAGTACTATTGTATGGGGCAGAAACATGCAGAACAACCAAGGCAATTACTAATAAATTACAGACATTCATTAACTGGTGCCTGCGCAGATGCCTGCGCAGAATAGAGGGAATAAAATGGTATGATAGAATAACTAATGTAGAACTTTGGGAGAGAACTAAACAGGCTCCAGTGGATCAGGAGGTGAGGAAAAGATGCTGGCGTTGGATAGGGCACACACTGGGAAAACAGGAGAATAGCATAACTAGAATGTCTTTGCATTGGAACCCACAGGGGCATAGGAATAAAGGAAGGCCAAAAAACACATGAAGAAGAGAGCTGGAGAATGAGGTTAGAAAGATTGGGAGGACATGAGGAGAGCTCCATGTAATGGCGAAGGATAGAACGACTTGGCGTGAGTTGGTTGAGAGCCTATGCTCCATTGGGGGATAGAAAGGCAGAAGAAGAAAAAAAGATTTTCAGAAAACTAAAATGTATACTTTTTTTTAAATATAAATATATTGTCATTTAATTTTTATTTAAAGAAATGATGAAGAATGTGTTTGCAAAATCACATAAATTATATAATCCTCTTAGAAAATTACAATTTTAAATATATTAAAAGAAATTTGAATTTGCATGGGGGGGGGGGGGGGGGCTGGGGATATGTTGAGGCCCATGCAGACTGTGAGCCCCAAGCTGTTTGTAGCTTATTTAGCTTTTGTCAAAATCCAGCACTGAAAAAGGCAGACCAAGAAAGACCAACATAGAGAACTCCTAATATGCAGACATCAAGTCCACTGTATTTACAGATGGATCTATGAAGCAATACAAGAGGACAGCAGTGCTTACCAGGCAACTATGTCAAGCATGACCATGGAGATGGTCGCTGCTTGTAGAGAACTAGCATGGGCAGCAGAGCAAACCGCCACACAGGCAGTTATTGTATCAGATTCCATGGACATGCTTCAGAAGATAGCAACAGACGGTATGTGCTCTGAATGGGTAGAAAGCATTCATAAATCGAACTGGACCTCCCTCACCTGGATCTACACACCTGGTCATGCTGGTGTAGAGGGTAATGAGCGAGCAGACCAACTGGCAAACAGTGTACCAACGTATCTGGGAAGAAGCATAGGCAGAAAAGACATCACCAATGCTGTACAGACTGGGCTAGTGGATAATGATAAATCTATGTCACCAACACGACTGCGTGAAATGGAAGTAAGGTGAAGCACGTCTATGCCGCCTTCTGGGCCAAGATAGGAGACATAACCAACCTCTCTTTGAACAATTAGTAGAAGTACCTTGGAGTGGTTGCTGCATCGTAGGACTAAGCACACATAGGAGTGCCCAATGTGCTGTGACATCGATTGTGATAACATAACACAGCATTTGACTGAGAGACATGGACAGAACCGGTCAGACATTCAACAACAACTGGTCCGCCAAAGCACTGTTCTTGGGCTACAGTGATTATGAAAATTATGATTGTATGATAACAGCAATAGTAAACATGAATTAACTTCTTCGCTGTCATCTTAGCATTTCCTGCGATTTCTGGGCTTTAGCCTTGTTCCAGAACTTGAATTTGTGTGTGTACATCTATTCGTTTTACAGAACTGGCTCATATGTTTGCAGAATACTGGTTCCTTACATCTCAAGTAGATACACTCCAACTTCAAAGGAAACATGTCTAACTAATCACCTTTTAGGACATGCTTGTTAGGGGTACAGCGGGTCTATTCTTTTTTTAGTCCAAAATAAGTCCCTGGAATGCACACAGGGTTAATAAACTATCAAAGCAAAGTAACAGACCTTCAACATGCCTTCAAGTGTTGTGGGCATATAGAACTAGACCTATATTTTATAGACCGATCAGCATTCGTTGGGTGATGCAGTCAACATTACGCCAGGCGCCTTATCTCTTAGGACTGTACGTGGTGCCCATTTAAGGCTGGGTTGACCTGGAAGCCAAGGTAGGTCAATTTTTTGTTTAAAGTCAGGACATGAACCCACGACCTTCTGATCCACAGGTGAGCATCTAGTTGCTAAACCACTGCGGCTCCTAAAAAACTATGAGGATTACTTTTTTTTAACTAAATGCTTGCTTTGTTTTCTCCATCAAATCAAAAAAATCCAGGCAAACATCATGAACTTGAATCCATTATCTCATCTGAAGTATTGGCCCTTTACATCTATAGAGATAAACATGTTAGAAATTGAACAGGTCATGACTCAGCACATCCAAAGTGACTGAATGTGATCAGGCTGATGATTCTTCCTGAGGTTTCAAGAAATTATGTCAACATACTAAGACCCCAGAGACAAGAGGTGAACCCGTGAGAGAAATACTGGATGATGATGATGGTCATAATGATCCACTACAACTTACTCTATGTGCAAAGAACAGATGCGCTTTGAGATTGGCAAGCTCTCGTCTCCATCCTCCAAATCTGTGTGTAACCTTTTCCATGGTGACCTGCGTAAATTAAACATAATTGAAAAACATCACACACAAAGGTAGAAAAATTAAGTGATTTTATTTTGTCAGCTCTACCTTATCTATATAAAAAAAAAATTATACTTTTTGACAAACTTTATGAAAACAGTATCAAGAAGACAAGCAAAAATGTTCATAAACTGAATGAAATATTAAATAAGTAAAACATATTTGATTTATGTGCATCATCTATAGGGTATCACAGATCAAGATAGATCTCTATGCTATACCAGGAAGGGGGGGTGGGCCTGAACTTGGGAGCTCAGGCCCCCTAAGCCCCTCCCCTCACCCCAAAAGAAAATACTGGGGGAGGCGTTAGTGGGTAGGGTTTGAAATTATCTTTACAAGTATTTGTTTATACATCTCATATACATATTATTATATTTATTTGCCATTCATCACAGAGTTGATATTAAAATCCCCCCCCCCCCCCCCCACCTTGGGTTATTGCTCAGGATTCTCCACTGTACTTTATTAGTATTAGTTGTATTACTCTATACATTTACTAAACCCCAGCACAGAAAGATATAACACATAAATAACACAATATTATTACGATCAGGAGTGACCGCAATCTTTTTATAGCCGTACCACCACCTTTGGATTTCGATTTCTGCTGACAAGGATGTTTTTTATTTTTGCTTTTTCCTCTTTGCTAAGATCTAAATCTGTAACACAATCCATCAACGTGAATACTTAAATAATCCCACCTGTCTGCTTAGAAATGATATCATTTACAAATAAACCGTTAAATTTTATGTTATTGTCATTATTAAAGCATTTTTTATTAATTACTAAAAAAAAAAAAAATAACTTCGATGAAAATATCTTAATTCAAGTGGCTGAGGTTGAAGCCTCACCGAATGAATGCTGACTTAACATCACTCAAACTAAAAAACAAACAAGCAGAAGGTTTCTTGTCAGGCTGTCACATACCTTGCAGCAGCCATGTCAAATAAGTAGTTTTGGAAAAGTTGACACGTGTTGGTGGCGCACAGCTCTGTCTTGTTGGTGTTGAAGTCAGACTACATTGTGCTCTTGGCTACCCAACTGCCCGTCCACCATGATTATTTTCATTTTTGCTGGAGCTTTTCTCTCATAGTGACCTCCCCTGATTGTAGCGGATCCATCAGTGGTTCTCAACTTGTAGGAGTACGGGGAAAATAAGCAATCTATTAAGTATCTGCACAATTGATGTCTAAGATGTGTACAGATAATTCAATAAAATTTAGCTGTAGTAGTAGTAGTAGTAGTAGTAGTAGTAGTAGTAGTAGTAGTAGTAGTAGTAGTAGTAGTAGTAGTAGTAGTAGTAGCAGTAGTAGTTGTGGTGGTGGTAGTGATGGTTTTCGGGACAAGAAGAAGAAGAAGAAGATAATTCGGTTTTTCAAAAGACTAGTATGTGATTTGATTTAGCCCAGGCACTCTTTCTGTGTGTGTGTTTTTTTTCCCGGCATCACTAAATATTGAGTCCTATAAATAGTCTTTTTCGCTCATCTAAGAAACCCACCTCTCTCTCTCTCTCTCTCTCTCTCTCTCTCTCTCTCTCTCTCTCTCTCTCTCTTTCTCTCTCTCTCTCTCTCTCAATCATTCATTCATTCAAATGTTGTGCCATTCTATTATGTGTCAGACAGTGCTTGCATTCTGTTTCTCCATTCCAATATGTCGTGCGCAATCAATTCAATATCAGGGGTGGAATCTACTCCAGTGCCTTAGACCTCTCCGATCAACGTTCGTTTTAGGGTTTGTGCCTTGCCTCCATAGTCCCTTTATTTCCCACTGTAGTGCCTGTTTGGTGATTGCCTTCTAGTTTCTTCTCTGGATGTGTCCAAAATATCACAATTTTCTCTGTCATAACTGTTTGACCTAATTAGAAATCATCCATGTATCACTTTTGTGTTAATTCACAGATAACCTTCAGACTGTTATCATCTACAATAGCCTCAGAATATGTCGGATTAGAACAGTTTGCAGCCCTCTTGTCTGCCAACCCTGTAGTCGTACGATTGATTCCTCATCTCAACACTTTCAAAAAAAAAATTGACCTGGGCTCCAGTGTTAATCCAGCGCAAACAATGCTATCCTGAAACGCAATGGGAAGTAAAAGCGTCCTGCTTTACATTTACCACATCGAATATCGTCTCTATGTTTCAAAGCAGAGTGTTAAACTGTATACCAAAGCCTCAGTTTTTAATATATCGCCCAGATTCTGCAGCTTCTCTCACCCTTTACTGTGCCTCATTCCGAAAGGATTCTCAAAGTCAATTCTCAGACCATCGAGTTTTAACAAAAATTGTTTTCAATCGGATGTTTGGACTAAAAGACATAAGTATTTCAGTCTAGCTGTAAACAGTAATATAAGGTGTGACCTGATATTTTAAGTGCGAACAAACAAGAAGAAGAACGAAAAGAAGAGAAAGAAGAAGAAGAACCTCTCTATGTATATGATGTGTGTATGGGGAGTTGTTTTTTTTTTTTGGGGGGGGGGGGGGGGGGAACGCACTCATAGTTTATATCCAACAACCTAACACCGTGAAAATAAAGTAACAAAATCGGATGTCTTCGATTTTGTTTCATTTTTAGTTATCTGTTGCAACAACATCAGCAACAACAAAAACAACAACAACTACTACTGCTGCTGCTGTTAGTACTAATGCTGCTGCTCCTATTATTATTATTATTATTATTATTATTTCTAATAATGCTACCACAACCGCCATAGTCATCAACTTCATCTTCTTCTTTTCTTCACTTTCTCCAGCTACTAGTCGAAGTGTTAGGGAAGGGGGTGGGGTTAATGATTTTCTGTGTCCATTGTCGATTGAGATGATTCTGAAGACTCTCTTCTGCTTCTGCTATTGATTCTTGGTCATCTGCAAATAACAACTCTGAAATATCATCGTCTTTTTCATTTTCAGCTTCTTTACACTCACTGTCAAAGCATTTTACTAAAAGTGGGGGAGATAGCACACATCAGAGTCGTACTCCTGAATATACTTCGTATGCAGTAAACAGACAATATATTGACTGGCACTCATAGAAAGACATATTAAACACTAGACTTTATTTATTTATCTGTGAATATTCCACAAACAGTTTTAGTACAGTCAACCCCGTCTAAAATTTGTAGTCTAAAATGCGTACTAAGAAATGTTCAGGGGAGTGCAGGGGACTGGCAGGCTGTTGAATACATTATCCGTTATGTGCCAGTTGATCTATGCAAATGTTTAGCATCATATAAAGAAAAAGTAACGGACTCTGTTCCATGCCGTCATGCGTATTAAGCTTATGAGGTTACACTCTACAGATGAATTGGGAATCAGTGGATTATGTGGTCAGCTTGGAAGCCAAGGGCATTTGTTAAAATAAAATTAAAATTGTGAAAGTCTGGCTCCATCTGGACCTGAACCCACGACCATCTGATCCTCAGCTAGCGTCTAGACTCTATACCATGGTGGCTTCCTCTAGCACCATATGTCCCATGGAGCGCTGCTACTAGAGGTACTATTATTGTGGCTCTTGTTACTACTTCTACTGCTGCTACTACTATTGATAACTGCTGCTGCTAGTAGTAGTAATACTATTATTGTTACTACAGCTATTAATATTATTACTACTATTTTACTAATGCTTAGGTTAGTTGCGTATCCTTTACACGACGTTGCAGAACCAACCCCATCAGCCCCTGGCTGTTGTGTGGTTTCACTAGGCAAATTTTACGCCCAGTAGTTTGCCATTGCTTCCTGGACGCTCGGCTCCCTGATACCACTGTCGAAACCAACGCAAGGTGTATGGCCCGCAGCTGAATCGAACCCGGTACCCCGGCATTACGAAGCGTTCGCATTGACTTAGCCACAGAGCTGACATTTACTAATGCTACTTCTACTAATACTACTACTATTACTATTACAAATAAAATGTGGCTGCAGAGATGTTATTTAAAAAAAAAAAAACATGAAGTGCAGATCAGCTTTACAAAGTTAAAAATCAGAAAAACCAGAGGATGTTGCAACCACAAGCCTTTATTTGCCATTGGGAAGAAACAAACTACACTAAAGGAAGAAATCAAATCAAACACAGAAATTATGATGGCCTTTATGACACCATCTACATGTGTATGTGAATATAACACTCTTCTATTCATAAGCTTCTTCTCATTTATCGTCTTCTCTTTCTTCTTCTTTTTCTTCTCTTTCTTCTGCTTTTCTCTTTTTTCTCGCTTTCATCTCCTTCTTCTTCTTCTCTTTCTTCTGCTTTTCTCTTTTTTCTTCTTTTTCGCTTTTATCTCCTTTTTCTTCTGTTCCTTTCTTTTTCTTTCTTCACCTTCTTCTTCTGTTTTTGCTCCTACTTCTTCTTCATCCTCTTCTCCTCCTCCTTCTTCTTCCTCTTCTGCTGCCCTCTGTCACCTCAGCTGTGCAAAGACCATTAACAATCTGAAACTCAATGTACTGTCTTTAACCATCGCACGAAGCTCACTCTAAGTCCTCACAACTCCTTTTTATGTTACTCTCTAGTTGAGGGTCACTCCCTTCTATGTGCTTATTTTGGTCTGCTTTTATTCCTTTAACCTGTGGGTTCCAGTGCAATGACATACTAGTTATTTTTTTTATATATGTGAAAGGAGGTGCATCGTAACCCAATTCATTTGGGCCTTTTCCTCACCACGTTATAATTCTTCTATTAAAAGAGACTGGTCCTGATATGGCTTTACTGCTACCAAACCATCCATACAGCAATCTATACACAATTTCAGAATTAGGAATATTTGTGCTTGCTGTTTAAATACATATATTTTCCTATTCTCTTTATTTGGGAGTCGTCGTGGCCGAGCGGCTAAACGCTCCCGCGGATCGGAAGGTAGTGGGTTTGCTCCCTGGCGGAGCCGGACTTTTTTCAAACATGACCTTGGCTCCCAGGTCAACCCAGCCTTGAGTGCGTACCGGGTGCAGTCCCAGGAAGTAAAGGCGGCCGGCGTGATGCTGACCACATCACTTATTTTGTGCCGATTGGTCTATAAAAATATAGGTCTTGCCCTATATGCCCTAAACGCCTAAAGGCGTGGAAAAGGGTCCTTTACTTTTTTGTATTCTCTTTATTTCATTCATTCTTTCTTTTCTTTATTTATTTTTTATATTTTCTGCTTTGTTCCGCTAGTCGTCGCAGGTTAACAGATGATTGGTTTCCAAGCCAGGGTAGGCTCGGTTGCCTGCTATGCTGTGATGTTGTGAAGTCTCAGGGTATCAGTAACTCTTTCTGTCAATCTTCTTCTTGGTCGTCCCCTATGTCTTGGTGTTTCTAGTTTCATGTTGTACCCTCTCGTACCTGGCATCACTGAATTCATTCTCATTAGATGTCCAAACCATTGCTGTCTTTATTTCTCGATAAATTTAATTATAGCTGTTGTTCAAATAGTTTTTGGGATTTCTTTGTTTCTCACATGATCTCTTCTAGTTGTGTTCACGGCCTTTTGCAAACATCTCATTTCACAGGTGCTTATTATTATTTCAATTATGCGTACACCTGTTATTACTGTTATTAACTCTCATCTTCCACTTTTATTTTTTAGCGATGGTGGTGAGGTGCAGTATAAGTCCAATGCTCAGTTGGCAGTATTGGCTATAAAGTATTGACAAAATGGCAGTCAAGTATGATGATGCATGCCTGTCGGTCCAGCAAATGTATGAGTTAAGTAGAAAGTTTCAAAATTGTGTGACTTCTATGAGACACGGTTCATGACCTAGTCAGGCACACTACGTAGTGACTCCAGAGTTATGCTTCATGCAGAGTGGCATGCCTCGCTGCTTAGGATACGGGTGAGGAGTATTGTCTGGATTTTTCACCAGGGTACGCTAGTGTGCTGGGAAATGAACAGACGGAAAGACTGGCTGGCTCTGCACAGCTTGGTGGAATACTGATGTATGATAAGGCAGACAGATAAGGTTAGTGCCTTGTGGGAGAGCGTGTACAGTTCAGAGGAGCAGATGGATCACCACAGTCTGGTGAGATTGATGCAGGGGGAGTGATGAGAGGTTCTGGCAGATGCTCAGAGGAAAGGCAAGACGGACGTTTAATCAGAATGCTACTGGCACCATTAGTATCGGAACTCTTCGCTGGCTGCTGAAGATGGGGACAGAGCGCTTATGGGAATGCCCGGAGTGCTGTGATGTTGGTTCTTGAATCAAATCAAATCAAATCCAGGGTTAATTGCAGCTACTGAAGCCTTCATACAGGAAAACCGCTGACTGACTATGTATGAGTGACATTACCACACATTTTGGTCATTTTTTAGCTTCACTAATCAAAGAAAGGCCCTCTTTAAACTGTCATTATGACATCTCCATGTTCATCTGCAGTAATGTCATCTGCTTAACACTCTTGTGAGCTGTGTTTTTCATGTGGAATGCCTTTCATTCGTTTAGCAGTTGAGTCGTGGTATTCAATATTGCTGTTAGTCGGTTTACATGTGGGCTAGTGAAATACCTTATATAATCATTTTACGTGTGTATAGCCAATTTATTGAGACCAACTACTTTCATCAATGACAAACTGCATTTCTGGTGGGAACCATTGGCTTTGGCACCTCTAGCAACTGCCATATTTCTGGATTGTGCCATTGCAATTGTTTATTCACCAGTTTTTCAAATGGGACAGTGAGAGACATTTCATTTCATTTTCACTGGCACAGGAATGGAGCGAGTATGAGGAGACCTAATTGCAGTGAAGTTGAAACCTTCCCTACGACAACATCTAAGACTGTTGACATCCCCAACAACAATATGAACATGTAACAAGACAATGACATGGCTATTGTAATTTCTACAACACTTTCAGGTTTTCATTTAAAACCTCCTTATATCCTTAATTTCATCAATCTATATTCTTTCTGCCCACCTCTTGCTATCTTTTTCTTTTTCTTTTCCTCCGGTTACCTCATAAAAGTGTTGAAAGGAGAAATAAGAATTTTTGTGTGTGCATAATTTGATCTTCATTTCTTTTAGGCTGTTCTTGACCCCTCATTCCACTATTTGCACCGTCTTCCTCTTGCTCTGTGTTGATTGTATTTCTTCAGCATAGCGCTCTGTAGAAGCTGGTACCAGGGGGAAAAACCTCGCATTATGGTTGCTTTCTGTCTGGCGTAAATTTCTCATCCCAGGCCTTCTTGGTGCGCTCCCGCAGAATGTTCTGCTCTGACCATATAACTGTGGATAGATAATCACATTTTTTGTTTACAAACAAGAAAAGAAATATTCAATTTGTGCAGTTTTTTTTTCTTTTCAGTCTTTAAGAAAATCAAAGCATAGTAGCACGCTTTATGCCAGTTTAATGATCATCAATTTAAATCACATCAAGGCAGATTTTTTTAATCGAATGAGAGACTTCTTTTTTTCTGTTAGGGGAAAAACCCACCCAATTTGCAGAGTTCATATTGACTGCACTAGTCACGGGGCCTTAAATTCTCAGGCTCATTACTCCCCACCCCCTCCATCTTGCACCGGCCTGAGAGTGTGGTTAATTCTTGGGTAGTATGCTCTGTGGAAAAAAAATTGCAACGTTCAACCTGCATCCTTGAAGGGGGAGCTTAAGGTTATAAGTGCAGCTAGGTTATGTGAGCCAGATAAAATGGCTTAGCAGTGCTCACAACCAAGTAGCTCTGAAAAGAACTATTGCAGTGTTGATGCGATCAGAGGGGACATACCTAAATACTGTCCTCTCCGGCGATGACCTGGTCACAGATGTCAAGTGGTAAATTCAGAAAGGAAAGATGTATATGGGCTTTTAGTCTCAAACAATCTAAAAAGTAGTACCAGAAAAGGTGTAAAACAATCTAAAAATGAGTGCCCAGACATGTGTGAAACAATCTAAAAATTAGTACCAGGTAATGTGTGAAACAATCCAAAAATTATTACCAGGAAATGTGTGAAACAATTTAAAAATGAGTACCAGGGAATCTGTGAGACAATCTAAAAATTAGTACCAAGAAATATTGGAAAGTACAGGTGGCTATACAGTTTTGATAACTGAAAACGCAACTGATTTACAACTGCTGGATTTTGTGAGGATGGAGAGTGCTAAGAATGAACTTTCCTTAAATATTAAGAAAACAGAAGTAATGGTTATATCAAAGAAGAAGATAACACCACACTGTGGTATTTCAGTTGAAGGAGAAATATTTCACTGTCAATAAATTCAAATATGTGGGAACAATAACATCATCAGATGGAAAATGTGTGACAGAGATTAAAAGCAGCATTTCAGAAAATGAAAAATATCATGTGCAACAAGCTGCTCTCATTTAATGTCGGAAAGAGAGTGCTAAAATGTTACATAGAACCTGTTCTGCTGTATGGCAGTGAATCTTGGAATGTCAGTGAACAAATTAAAAAGAATTTGGAAGCAACAGAGATGTGGTTTCTAAGGCAAATGTTACAAACACCTTGGATGGCCAAAGTAACTAACAACAATTGTTTGAAAGAAGCTAATGAAAGTAAATCACTATACACAACAATAAAAAGAGACAAACACTGTTCTTTGGCCACATAATGAGCAGAGAGATGCTGGAAAACATCATGACAGCTGGAAAGATCAGTGGAAAGAGGGGTAGAGGCAGACCAAGAGAGATGATTCTGAATGGGCTGAAATGATGGCATGGAGGGATATCATCAAGACAGCTGTTCCAGGCAACCAGGGATTGTGATCTGTGGAGATGCATCAGTGCCTGTGCCAATTGGCAGGACACATGATGATGATGATGATATTAGGTGGCTGCTATGACACTGACATCATCTTTCAAGTGCCAACTGATCTATAAAAATAGGGCTCCAGCTTCCTACAGTAACTACCAGGAAATATTCTGGGAAGGAAATACTGATCAAGCACAAGTGCTGACTGGTCAATACAGATATAGGACTAGCATCATATGCCTAACATAATTAACAACATAAAAACAAGACTACTTAACTTTGTTTTATAACATAAGATTCCCCGTATGGGTTCCAGGGCCCCATTGTGGGGGAAACAAGAATAGACCCACACCCTCCCAAACAAGCATGTCACAGGAGTCGACTAATTGGGGATTTATTTCAAAGTAGGAGCACATCTGTCCACAAGGAACAATGAACTGCACACATATAAGCCAGTAAATCGGAGAGGAAAACGCAAAACTCAGGCCCTGGCACAAAGTCAAAGTCCAAATGGATGAACAACCAGGATTTTCCGCAAGAGCTTGCAGTCGGTGAATAAAAAAGAAGAAAAAAGGTCACATAAGTCTATCATGGTGTCGGTACAGACTTTTTCTCTACAAAATGTTCATCATTGGCAAATATTATCAACGGAAGAAAATGTAAATGGCTTTAAATACATGCAGAATGGAAAATGGCAAATGGAAAAATGGAGATGTGGGTGACCCAAGTGAACATGCAGAAGGCCAGTAGATGGAAAATGAAGGGATGTGAATGTAAACTGAGATGGGATACCATGGGTAGATGAGAAACAGATCAGAAGCAATAAAGATCACTTCTGAAAGGCCTGTGTGTCACTGACAACATAAAGATATACAAAGATTGGGACAGATAGTCCTATGGTAGATACTGCCATTGAGGTTAAAAGTATGGGTTTTATCCGATTTGGCTCAGTCTCTCTCTGCAGAATGTCTAGTCATCTGCCAAGAGCATCAAACAAAGAATGAGCAGCTTAGCTCCAGTGACGATCCCCAGGGGTCTCCATAAAAATGCCACTTAGGTGTGGAGTGTTAAGCCATCCCAAATGCTAGATCAAGACAGAAACTGGCATCGTTAAATCTCTTCTTTATCACCTCTTCTCATGTCAGTCACTTTTTTAATGGTGACCACAGAAGAAAGAAGATGAATCATCTTTATTTTTAAACCAAAAAATATTTCCCAAAATTGTTCAAACTGCTTGGTTCTAATTTTAAGAAACATAAGCCTGCCACTGCTAGGCTTCTCTTCATCCTAAAGGAACGGCTGACCGAGTAGTTACAAAGACGGCTCTCATATGGGGAAACCTGGGTTTGACCCCTAGTAAGAAGATGGAGTTTTTCTGTTGGTGCAAAATTAAACAGCCTAACCTGCACAGTCCGTGGCAACAGTACTAGCCATACGGGCCCTACATTTTCAGGCACATGACCCCCTGTCTACACCATCCTAAAAAAAGTGGTAAAACTGACAGTAGGGACAGTTTTTTTTTTTTTTCTTTTTCATTTGCCATTAAACGGCCAGTTGGCACACTGTATTGTGGTTTAAAGCTAGGCCGTGATATCTCAAATTTTTAGCCTTGCACATTTGATTTCAGCACATCCTTAGTAGCCTTTTATGATATGCTTGATAAGGGGTGTGAAGACTCATACTAGACCATTGTTTTGACAGTCCACCAATCTCTTTGCCACCATTTTGTTTCTTGGGTATGGGACACGGCAGATTCTTTTAATCAATATTTTTTTGAAAGAGAATGCATCCTATAAAGACAGACAGTAGCATTAATTGATGATTAAAAACACTTCACAAACTGTACATACTTAGATCATCTCTTTTGTGGTGAAAAGTATCTGGATTTTTCCCTCTTCTGAGATGAACCTGGTTAGTGAAGTCTTGATGCCCCTGGCTGATGGTATGGTCGGTGGTAAAACCAGGAAATATATCATACCGAAGATTCTGACCAATGTTTTCATAATCACCATCAAGATTCACTTGGAGACTGGTAGCATTTTGTATCTTTGATGATCTTTGATGCCTGAAGAGTGGCTTCTGTCTATCAATGGACAGAGCCACCAAATCTTTGTCACAAAGTAGCTCTTCACAGTTACGGCTGCCAAACTTGTGTTTAATATTTGCAGGAAGCTCAACAAAGCTATGGGATTGTTGGTTGTCTGGTTTCGATTGCTGCATTAAATCATTACTGATAGGCTGGAATCTTCTCCAACCATTTTCTCTGTTTCTATTATAAGCTGCTGTTGTTTCTTCAATAGGAAACAATCTAGTTACATTGTTTATTGCGGCTGTCTCATCCAACAGACTGTTTTTAGGAGTTGCTAGTCTAGGTTCATTTGCTTCTACATGTTTAGTTTGATTAGCTGTGACACTAGCAGCTCTTGCAGTTTTAGAGTTTCTGAAAACATTGTGATTACTAAAACAGTTATCATTACTGAAAGTTAATGCTTGTTCTTGTTTCATTTTGAGATGTTTATCGGCTTCTCCAAATAAACTTTTCTGTTGCAAAAAATGACCTCTTGCAGTTTCTAGTTTGTCATGTTCTGAAAAAGACAAAAATAATTTTTTTACATATATGATTTAATAGAAAGCAACTTCACAATCAGTGCTGATAAACTTGGTCAAATTGCAGAAAAGGTGTAATTTATTCTTCTTTTTTCTTCTTTGCTTTCATTTTTTATGCTCAGATAAGACCATCAGGTGGGTTGCCTCTATGAACCCGCATGTCAGTAGCAGGTCCTTCATTGTTCCCCATAGCTTGCTCTGCACACTTTGCTCTTTTTCATTGTTTTCTTCTTTTTCTTCCTCTTATTCTTTTTTTCTTCTGTTCCTTTCCTTTCTCCAAGCAAGTTTTTATGTGATATTTACATTATGTGTTGAGAGGCAGATAAAGTGGTTCACGGCAAAAGCAAATGGATGTCAGTGATACTACATCTAGTTTGAGAATGGAGATGGAAGCAGTCAATGCAGCCTTCCACTGGCTTGAGAACAAGCTGTACACAAGTGTCATGATTGTAACTGTCTTATAAAGCATGTTGAGAAAAATGAAGTCAGGTATGCTCCGTGCAGAGAAGTCCTGGGTGGTTGGTGTCCTTTTTTAAATAATTTCTCCAGGTTGTGCAAGTGTGTTGGGAAATGAGCAGGCAGATAAACTGACTGTTTCTGCACCACTTGCTGGTAAACTGATTCATGACCAACTCGATGCCCTAAGGGTCCTTTGGGAGTGATTGAACTTTTGTGGAGACATAGATCATTATGGTCTAAGGAGAATGATGCTGCAAGGAGTTACCAGGTGATCTGGCCAACACTCAATTCTCAAGGGAAAGGCGAGACCATTACACAATCAGACTGGTACTGGTGCTGTTGGAATTGGAACTCCCCACCTGCTTCTAAAGATAAAGATTGAGTGCTTATAGGAACGTCCTGCGTGCTGTGTTGCTGATTCTTAATTCAACCTTCAACAACAAAAACATTCAACATTATTGGTGTATCACTGCTGATGCACACCATCCATTGCACAGTGAGATTCACAGGAAAAAGGGTAGCAAGTTAAAAAGAGGAAAATCCTGGGTGGGTCAGGGTGAGGACATTATTCAACAAGTTTGAGGACACAGAACCTGGTGAGGAGTGGATACGAGTGCCAGCAGAGTGGGGTATATCCTTTTCAGTCTGCATAAAACTGGGTAGAGATTGCAAACAACAAGGCTGGCTGGTGGTTGAGGCAGAAGTTCAAGCTTTAATTCTTGAAAATTCTGCAGATGGAGGTGCAGTTTTCTACACTGATGGATTCATTGTTCAACATGTACAAAGTTTAAGGGCTTTCACGATTCTGGTTCACAGAAAAACTGTAAAAGAAGAAAGCAAGGCTTTTGCTCCGACTACTGGTAGTTTGACTATGAAGGAAATTGTGGTAACAAAGCAAAGATGTGACTAGAGACACAGTAGTTTTTCCATGTGTGCTTTCTAAATGATTCTGTGTGCATGCTTAAGAAGATAGAGAAAGGATGGATTCGAAGAAAATGATTGCAGTCACTGATGACATCTTATCTGAAAGGAAGTTTCAATTTTGTTCCAGGACACTCTGGGGTAAGAGGGAATGAACGAGTGGATTGGCTTGCTGGCAGGGCCATGGTAGGTACAGGACAATCAATGGACCCAATTGACATTCTCATTGCTTCTAAGGAGGCAGGACGAGAAGATGATTCAGGAGATGATCTTGAAGCAGCAACACTCAAAAGACTACAACAACTTCAGGTGGTCAAAAGAAGTGTCGCCAAACATGAACACCATACAGGTAGCCAAAGAAGAATAGTAAACCAATACAGAACTGGTGATATCAGTCACCACACATTGGGGGATATGCTGAAGATGGGATCCGAGCGCTTATGGATTAACCAATGTGCAATGAGGAAATCTTTCCATATCCCAGTTAACTAACTAATATTCAACATTATGCAAAATATATGAAATTTAAAAAAAAATATTAACCCATATTATTCATTTTCATCATCATCTTTTTCTTCTTCTCCTCCTCCTCCTTTTTCTTCTTGTTTTTTATTTTCTTCTTTTCTTTCTTCTCCTTCCTCCTCCTCCTCACCTCTACCTCCAAGCCAGCACTTCTTTGATGCACACATTATGTAAAATATCGCTAATTTTACTTCTGTTTTTTTTTTCACTGTATTTTAAGAACTGTTTTGTAATATTCAAGTTCCAAAAGCCCACTTTTTTTATTTAGTGTTGCAAAATGGGCTATGATTCACATCCTTACCCTTAAAATAAAATGATAAACTGTCTTGATTCCACCATTCTTACTACTGTTTCTCCTTTGTCTTCTTTGCCCCCCAACTACCAAGTATAAGTTTTTTAAAAAAAACTTTAACAAAATTATAATCATGATGACAAACCTGGTGTCCTGTCTTTTAAATACTGAGGCTAACTGAACTTTTTTAAGACTCCTTCCATGTGACCTTCTGAAGTGCATCTACCTTCACTGTTCTTCAAACTGCCCATGTGTGTGCTTTCTTGAACAGTGCCAAATAGTGTTTGTTCATGCTCTGTCCTATTCATCACTTCTTTATCCTGAAAAGCCGCATCAATCTGAACTGGTGTAGTGACTCTAGTTGTAGCTGTCTACCAAATACAAATGTTAAATCAGAACAACAATTTTAAGTAGTTAACATGTTTATACTGATGGACATGAAGCAAATAACTGGTTGTTAATTTATAAATTATACTTGTTCAGAAATCTTCTATCACTTCTTTCATTTATTTAAAAAAAATATATGTTCAAAAATAAACTTCAGCTTAATACTTTCAGTTTCACTTTCTAACATGTTTCAAATTCTAGTGTTAAACAAGACTGATGATTGTTTAACACTGGAATTTGAAACATGTTAAAAAGTGAGGGATAGAGAAAACTGAAAGTATTAGGGTGATGTTTTTAAAAAAATCACCAGTCTTGTCTTAACACATAACTGTTTCGTTCATCAAACACTAGTGTAGTGTTAACAATGTATACACCATACAGCAAACATGTACCAAAAACCAGTGTTAGACAATAACCAGTCTTTCTTTTCATTCATCAAACACACCAACGTTAACCAGACATATACAGAAGAGAAAGATTTCAAAGGTGTATAGAAAATTAATCCATCCAATGGTGCTGGTGCCTTGTCTTGGTGGGATGACTCTCAGAGCTAAGCCAGCAGGGATCTTGTTACCCTGGCAGGATTAACCATGCCGAACAGATCTTGAAAAGAAGAGTCAGACCAAACTAACACCCTGGTCCTCCAAGTTGGGGGTTGGGTAAACGGTTGACAACCCATTACTGTAAAAGAATACTTTGTTACGAAAACAGGATCTAGTGAAATCTTTGAACCGATGGAAAGAAGTGAAGCTTGCCAGATATTTGTGGAAATGACGGCTGGGGATCAAAGCCGAAAGGAAGTCAACAGCCCGACAGTACCTAAGGAAACCTGGAGAAGGGCAACCGAACGGGAAATGAAGGAATGTAAATTGACATCGGATACCATGTACAGAAAAGCAGCAGACCGGCAGCAGTGGAGATAACTTGTGAATGCCTTATGTGTCAACAGCGACATGAGGAGGATATAGATAGATAGAAAATTAATGCAGAACACTATTATGGTGAGAACTGTTAACTATCAAAACAATGAGTCATCATCATCGTTCTATCCTTCGCCATTGCATGGAGCTCTCCCCATGTCCTCCCAATCTTTCTAACCTCATTCTCCAGCTCTCTTCTCCATGTGTTTTTTTTTTTTTTGGCCTTCCTTTATTCCTAAGCCCCTGTGGGTTCCAATGCAAAGACATTCTAGTTATGCTATTCTCCTGTTTTCTCAGTGTGTGCCCTATCCAACGTCTTTTCCTCACCTTCTGATCCACTGGAGCCTGTTTAGTTCTCTCCCAAAGTTCTACATTAGTTATTCTATCATACCATTTTATTCCCTCTATTCTGCGCAGGCCTGTCATTGTAAGTAGTAGTAATAAATGTCACCCAATATCCTGTTCAACTCTCAGTGTTATAACTGGAAAATATAGTATTCATTGAGTTCTCAGTGTATGTGTGTGATTGTTATTTTACACATCGTGTAATTATTTATTTAAGACAAATATGTAATTTGTGTTGTTTCAAATATTGTTTTTATCTGGGTTATGAATCTGATGGATTTATTATGTCCAGTCGGTGTTGCGAAAGCGCTTCACAATGTCACCGTGCCAGGTTCTATTCCAGCTGCGGACAATTAGTCTTGCATTGGTTTCGACAGTGGTACCGAGACCTGACCATTCAGGGCAATGGCTAACTAATGAAAGTAAAATTTGCCGAGAAAAACGACACAGCATAAAAAATGCTGGGGTTGGTTCTGCAACGTAGGGGATACGCAATTAACTTTTAGTATAATAATAATAGTTGATTGTCCTCATTGATTTTTTTTTTTTCAACAGATGGGATCGAATTTGATTTGTCCACTCCCCCGTGTGGGTTCCGGAGCCCCATTGTGGGGAAAACAAGAATAGACCCACTGCCTCCCCAAAAGCATGTCGTAAGAGTCGACTAATTGGGGAGCTTCCTTTAAAGGAGTGCATCTGCCGAAAGGCAAGGAACCAACAGTCTGTATTCAAAAGAATTAAATCTGTAAAACTGATGCACACGCAACACTCAGGTTCTGGAGCAGGACTGCAGTTCAGTAGTGGACGAGCAACTAGAACCTTCCGCCAGAGTTTACAGCTAGTGAACGCGAAGAAGAAGATTTGTCCACTCCGTTCTATCATGTGCAATCTGTGTATTTACCGTATCTTAGCAATAGCCGACATCTTATATGTTTACTATAATACTGTTTCCTATTCCGGGATTAGAGGTCAAAGAAGACCACGAAATCAATGACGTTTTACACAACACGTTTGCCAAGGCCCTCAGTTGGTCGTTTCTGCGTCAGTGTATTATTATCTCTAAATTTTCTAGTGTCACGTATGTTTCATATTTTGTAATGTTAAATTGTAGCAGTCCACTGTCTGAATCTATAAACTGTCATTCTAGAAGGTTCACTCTGTCTGGCAAATAATCCTAAGCTAAATTATAGATACAGCAAAAGAACATAGACCCAGACTCTTGAGACAAGACACTTCCCAGTTAACCAGACTTATTCGGTTCACTGTAGAATTTCGTCATGCTAAATAAACTTAATTTGCAGCGTATAAGTCACGTTTTCACGCATTAAAAACTCTTCATATTGGTGTTCGTCTCATGGCTGTTAAATAATGCAATAAAGGCCTAATAAAAAATTTTGAGCTAGAAATCCTGAATCTTGAGGTCATCTTGTGGCTGTGATATATGATTATATGTATACTATTGAGATCAGTAACGTAAACATTTTTGTCACAAGATTTTGCTGATGGAGTAAACTTAGTTCTGCCGTAATTTTTATCTCTGTTCGCCGGCTGTAAGCTCTGGCGGAAAGTCCTGATTGTTCGTGCATTTCGACTTGAGTCTGGCATGTACATCCGTTTTACTGGCTTATTTATGTGCAGTTGGTTGTTTCTTGCCACTCGGGCAGATGCACCTTGACTTCACAGGAAGCCTCCAATTAGCTTACTCCTACAACATGCTTGTTGGGGAGGCATTTGTCTTATCTTTTTTTCCCACAATGGGGCTACAGAACTCACACAGGGACCATAATTTTCGGCTCTCCTTTGAATAACCATTCCAAATGATCTACGCAGAAAGTTAACCCTAACAGAGCCTCATTACGTCCTACCCTACAAACATTTAAAAGCTGTAACTCGGAAAAAATTAGGAAGGAAAAGGGCAAAGTCTACTACTTACCGAAAATTAAATACTTTATATGTGAAAATTGTAGCACAGAAGTTGCAAATAGTGCGCGAAAACCTGTTCTGTCTCGCTGTCCGCCATTGTAACTCAGCACGGCTTGTCCGCTATTCTCGTTCCGTGTGAGACATGATGTAAATGCGCGGTTTAATGTACGCGCATGTCGCTTCAGGACAACTTCAAACCAGCAGCCGCCATGATGGCGTCCACTATCCCGACCACCACTTAACCGTGGTGAATGCAAGCACGCTGGTACTACCAACAGAAGAAGTAGCTCCTGTAAATTGTAGACTTTTTTTCCCGCGACTATAGTGCCACCTCCGAGAGTATCCCCCGCACCGCTACGCATGACGCGGAAGGGGCTAAACTAGATTGCTGGGACTCACGAGCAGATACATTGGAGATAGCTGCGACTCAGGAGTCCCTAGCGTTTCGCGAAAATGTTGTGCGCAATTAATCCCACTTTTGACACGGTTGATTCGCCGCAAAAGAAATGCAAATTTTAGATGAGTGAGGCTCTGTTTGGGTTCACTTTCTGCGTAGATCATTTGGGACCGTTATTTAAAGGAGAGCCTAATTTTCAATAAACATGTTACCAAAACATTTGTTTCACAGTAGTATTTTAAATTAATATCCTTTACTGTTAAAGTCTCAGGATCATAATTAGGATATGTATGTGTGTGTATATATGTTTATGTATACATATATATATGTGTTTATTTATATATTAGGGCTGTACCGAATAGTGATTTTCACTATTCGACGGAATACGAATAGTGAAAAAAATATATCTAAAAAAAAACCTCATTCCTAATGTCAAAAGTACGCTGAACTTTTACTTCACACAAAGTAGCACAGAAAAGTCTTATTCTTTAGCATTCTGAGCCCTTGAGGTTTACTGCTGCAGATATCACTAGTCTCCATTCATCTCTCTGGCTGGCCTTCTCTTCATAATTTGTGACACCAGATGTTTGCAGGTCTGACTGGACATTATCTCTCGAACTTCTTTTTTTGTCTGCCTCGTGATCTACGCCCATTCCTCTCTCTCAGGTGTATATAGTTTTTACTTCTCTGTCACATGACATTCTTTCAATATGCCCCAACCATTTTAGTCTGTTAGCTCTTATGATGCCAGTGATCAATGATAATTTAAACAGATTATGTGTTACGTTGTTGCTTCTTACTCTCCATTCCCCACTGTTAGCATCTTTGATGGGTCCAAAGATTTGTCATAAGATTGTTTTCGAAAGCCTTTAATAAGGCCTCATCTCTTTTATTTCTGCTGTAAGTTTCAGAGCCATATAAAACGACTGGTCTTATCAACGTTTTTTATATTTTGATCTTGGTGTCGCGAGACAGACACTTTGACTTTAACAGATGTTGAAGGGCATAGTATACTTTATTTCTAGATTGTATTTCTTCTCCAGCATGTTGGAGCAGTTGAAGTTTGCACCCGAGTACTTATATGTTTCCGTTCGTCTGATTTTCATATTATCGACTTGGAGTTTAAATTCTTTCCATGTCTAGTTAGTATTTGTACAGAATAGTAAACATTTTATTTTTTTGTATCCTTCAGTCAGTCTGTGGTAACTAATAACTATGACTGAAAGAATCCTAAGTATTATAACAAGTAACTAAACTTGGAAATTGTCACTGACAGCTCAGTTAATGCAGGAAAGCTGTATTAGCTTTCAACAAAACCATTCGTTCCATGTTGTCGGCATTAAGTCCGTGTATGCAGAAGCTGGTGTAAGGTAACTACTATTCGTATACGGCCCGACCGCAACTTCGGTCGAATACCGAATAGTCAATAGGTCCACTATTCGGCTACGAAGCGAATATTCGGTACAGTAAATATATATATATAAATATATATATATGTATGTGTGTATATATGTATATTTATATATAATAACCAGTACATGTTTAATGTATGCTTTTGCTATTTTACGTATCCTGTAGTAATTTACTTCAGACAGGTCTTATGATTACTGTTTTCATTTCCAATATTTGCTGCATTAGTAAGTGTTAATAAATCTTTAAAAGCTGTGGCTGTGGAAATACCTTCACAGTCCATTCTTGTTATCGGTATCAGCATCCTAGCACATCGATCTGACCCATTCATACTCCATCCCCTGATGCAGCAGCCATCTTAGTGTCTCCATTGGTAACTATACCTTTTAGAAGGTGATTGGCAGATATTTTGTATTTGCCCTGCAACCAGTTTCTGCATGCTTGTCCTCGCTTGATACCCTCTTCCAACAGGCGGTTCATCATCTCAGATTCTTTTGTCTCAACATCTCTGGAAAGCAGTGCATTCAGTATGTCTGCCCTGTCCATACTTCTTCCTCTGCTGACCACTGGAGGAAAGGCTAGCCGCTTAAGGTGAGACTTCTTGATGCTGTAAACCCATTCTAGTCAAAGTTTGTCAGTTTGTGTCTTCTTAAGCATGCTCATTATTAAGCCTGTTACTATCAATGTGTGAGCTGTTTTCTGTTCCACTAGCTATACAAGTATTCCTGTGACAGCTGCTGTCTTCATCATCATACTAGAAGTAGTTAAACTGAATGCCTTCTTTTGCTCTATTCCCATTCATCTGTGCTGTGTCACTTTCCATCTGTTTTTGTTTAAATTTACAAGTATTAGTACACATTTATAGAAGTTAACTATTGTCATTTTTTTAAAGGTACATTTGCAGACATGAATTCTTCACCGCGACTGGCAACGAGATTGGTGAGAAATATACGAGTAGCTACAGGATGCAAGTCTATTCACAGACATTTGACTACAGTAACAAACAGAACAGTGCTGACGTGTGTACAGAATCCACAATCTTACAGCCCTACAGTTGGCATTAGATTAAAAGCTACCTGTGCTAGCAAGTTTGAAGTTATCAATGTACAAGACGGAGAAGATTTTAAGAAAAGAGTTATTGAAGCTAGTTCTACTACACCAGTTATTGTTGACTTCCATGCAACGTAAGTCTGTAGTTGTTATTTTGTTGTAATAATTCATTTTAACTGGATTTAAGTTTGGTCTGTACATGGCCTAAAGCTTTGTTGAGGCAAAGTGACCCATGACTATCTCAATTAAAAAATAGGATGTTGAATAAGATAAATTTAAAACACATCCATCTTCCTGCATTTAACAAACAAATCTCTTTGCCGGACGCATGCACCTAATTTGTTTTGGTTCTTTTTTTTTTTATGTTTACTTACTTATGTATTCTTACCACTGTCTGGCGATCCTACAGAAAAATCTACGAGATCCCATTTAGGGTCCCGACTCATGGGCTGGGAACCCATGCCCTAAATCAACTGAATATATCTCTAATTCCTGTTCTAGTTTTAGGTTTTCTGTCTCTTCAGCCCTTTATGTTTCATACCCGGGTTAGACCTCTGCTAAGTTAATGGAGTTTTCTATCAGGGGAAAAATTAAACATTCTGACCTACACAGTCTATGGCAACAGCACTAGCCGTGTGGCCCTAAATCCTTGGGCTTACGACCTTTTGTCTCCATCACCCAAAAGAGGTACATACAGACTTTTTCAGATACACCTGTTTATCAATGTATTTGTCATGTAATCATTACTCGTGTCCTCAGGTGGTGCGGTCCCTGCAAGGTGTTAGGGCCCAGACTGGAAGCCATTCTTGCTGAGGAGAATGGTAAAGTTGTCATGGCAAAAGTTGATATTGACGACAACTCTGAACTTGCAATGGAATATGGTGTAAGTTGCTTTTTTGTTGAATGCATCTGTTTTTTGTTAAATCGTTGTTGCCTCTCCAGAGAATACATAAGGCTTTTAGGAAAGTTTAAGCTAAGAGGATTTATTTTGTTTTATCTTAAAGCAAAAGAATAGACTTCATAACACCAGGTTTTATCCCATGTGGCTCAGTCTCTCTTTCGCAAATCGGCTAGCTGCCTGCGAGAGTGCCGCACCGAGCACAAACTCCATAGCTCTGGCGACGATAAATTGCCACAAAAATAGCACTCATGAGCTGAATGGTCTTCAGAGCACGAGGCAAACAATTTGACCACTTTGCAAATGGCCCCCCCCCCTTTTTTTTTTTAAATCTTCAAAGCAGTATTATGAATGGTTGCGCTACACATTAAAAAAAGATATGCTTTTCAAGTATATTACATGATCATGGTGGCCATCTTGAATTTATTTGGCTATGTAAAGAAATTCCCCCTTTTACTATATCGTGTTAGTTGACCCCGAAAAAGCATTCCAGGAGTAGAGAAAATAAAAAGAATCCTGGAAACATATCAAGGCTCTCACCCGATGCTGAAAGGCAACACAGGACTGAACAAGAAGCATGCAGTTCAAAAGTAACCAGCTGGTTACATAATAAAGTGTAGTCCATTGTGGTTGGGTTGTGGCGAAACAAAAAAACACTTGACCTTCAGAACAAAAGGTTTGACCTCAGAGGCCATTGTTCGATTCCCCATTGACGAAGGGAAAAGATATTTGAGGGTGCTGGAGTTGGATGGGACGCACGCTGAAAAAACCTGATAACGATATAACTAGAATGTCTGTACACAGGAATTCACAGGGTTGAAGAAATAAAGGAAGACCACAGGACATGAAGAATTAGAATGTAAAGTTAAAAAGATGGCGGGTGGGGGGTGAATTGCACATGATAATGGGCAGGACTGGTTAATGTGATTTGATTTAAGGCTTAAGCCGCATGGTGGGGGAAGGGGGGTCTGCTCATTCAAAAGAAAAAATAATAGAACAGTGTTTACAGCTTTTTGTGTGGACGAGACTGCTACTGCAGCATTATCCTGCTGTGCCATTAGATGTCACATATAGCGCGCAATCTATTCCCTTAATTATTCTATCCTGTGCGGTCAGTTCGATCTCATCAACATTTATTTTAGTTTCTTGTCTTTGTCCACGCCTCCTCAGTCCCTTTATTTCCCAAATCACTCCTGTTTGATGTTGCTCTGCTGACTTCTTGGGATGTGTCCATTATTCCACCATCTTCTTTGTTATAACTGTCGATACTAGTGGTTGCTCGGACATTTCTCTCATGTCTTCAGCTCTTTTAAACTCATCCCATTTTGTTTTCATCAGATTCCTAAGGCATTGTATAAACAGCAGATGCTATCCCCAAAGCCAGCCTACTACTGTTACGTTAACAACAACAGCTAATATTTAGATAATCCAGCATGGCAGATTTATTTAACATTATGCATCATTTCATTTTTTTTAGGTGCGGTCAGTCCCGACAGTCATCGGTGTGAAGAACGGACGTGTACAGAACCAGTTTGTTGGAGCAATAGACGATGATCAGATCCGCACTTTTGTTGACAAACTGGTTGTATCGTGAATTCAATGGCCGTCTTTAAATTTTTTTTGCTGTGTGTAAACATCTGATGTAACGAAGCAATGCAAAAGTTGCTTCTTAGTTAAAGTTGGTTGCTGTGGATACAATGTTCCGTTAGTAAAATCTGTAATGGCAGATGAGTATTGATTTTATGTTAGTCGGAATCATTCATTGTTTATACTTAGTATGCGTCCCGTAAACAGGCCTGTACACTAATTTTGTAAAAAGTTTAGTGATTTTAAATGTTTAAAAAAAAAAAAGACTATTGTTTATATATAAACATTTCCACATAGTGTTGGTTAATGATTCATTGTTTATGAAATAAATGTAAATACACATAAATACGAAATAGTTGATAGTAATTTTGAGCTATGCCGCCTTAAGTGTCCAGAGTTGGTTGTTTGGTATACCTTGTGTATTAAGTGCGAATGCCGTAGTTTACATACTTTTCATAACTGTGAGTTGTGAGATCCTGCAGGCACTACAGACATGCTGTAATTGTTTTACTGTAGGTCTTCTCTTTATTTTGTGCCACCATGCGTCACAGTTTAACAGATAAGTAGCAGAGCCAAGGCACGCTCAGTTGTTTGGTATGCTGTATAGTCTTAAGCTGTCACCGACTTCTCACATCCAAGAAGTCCTTTTTTTTACAGACCACATAAAAATTGAACCTTGATATGTCAGAGCTTTTTTTGGGGAGGGGGGGGGGGGGGGGGGTGTGTGTGATTTGATGGCAGTAATAATGCAGCTGGCTTGCATGCCTGCTGGGTGGTCATATATTTAACACCCCCAGTCAAGATCCACAGTTTCTTCTGCTTTTTTTTTTAAACCTCATTCTGCAGTTCTCGGCCTTTCTAAAGCCGCAAACCTTTAATACAGTTCCTCGTGTTGTAATGACTTCCAACTATAAAATTTTTTTCATTCTTTTGCCAATTATTGCCTTTATTATATCACTTCTGCAGTGTACTAGGGGAGGGGAGGTCTTTGAGCTTGAGGATTTATGGCTAGTGCTGTCGCTATGGCTGTGCAGATGAGGATGTTTTAAATCCCCAGCCTTACTGAGGATTTGAACCCAGATCTCCTGCTAGAGAACCCTGCATTCTAACCATTCGGCAAGCTGCTCATCTTATTTTCATTGCTATTTCAGTGAATGTGCGTTTTCCAATGGTCTTAGGCGACCCCTGTGAATGGGTCGTGACCCACAGGTTGAAAACCGCTGCTCTAGTTTTTTTTTTGGTAAAATTACTGAGAATTTTAAGGATGTATCTTAAAAAAAATGAAATATTGTTAAAGATCTTTAAAAAAAAAAAAAAAGAAATTATGTGTTCAATGCATTTTTATGCTGTATGTGTACCGGTATATAATCTTGTTTGACGTATTGTCTGCATAATGGAATATCTATCTTTGATATTATAGAGAAGGAAAGGAATAAACATGTGAAATCAGATTTTGTTTTTCATATTCTCAGTTAGAATTAAAAATTTCTTGCACATTTCACCATGTTGCATGATCATGGATCAGATCAATGCTCATGTCTTGCCCTGCAAAGAATCTGCTGTTGGATAATTACAATTTTAATGTACAGATTTTCATTTCTATATGACATAAATGAAGAGGAGAAATCAATATGAATAGAGCAGAACGAACACACTTAATTATTTAAAGGGTTAAGAATTCATAGAAAAAAGTACGGACTGCCTACAGAACCACCTAAATCAAATCATTAACAAAGGGGAGGAATATAATATGAAAATAAACACTACAAAAACAGAGACAAATGGTGACAGAAAGACAATTTAGAAATAAAATTTAAAAACACCTTAAGAAAAAACAGTATTTGGAAGCAGTTTTCACATCGGATGCAAAACCGGACAGAGAAATTAGCTGATATGCCAAAGTTAAGTAATGGGGCAACTATCTCACCTGTTGGACACACAAGCAGATACCCCGGAGTACGAAAGTGAATCTTATCAGAACTATTTTTTTTGCCAACACTATGCTATTAGTGCCAAATGTGGACACTTACATCCTCTAATGAAAGTAAATTTGTGACAACAGAGATTAAAATCTTGACAGAGCTCATCAACAAATGTTACATCTCCCCCGACACTTCACCGAGGTACAAGGTGGAAGAAAAGAAGAAGAATTGGGAACGCAGGCCTGATTAATTCTGCCAGATAATTAAATAGATTCCACTCTTACTGATTAAACAAAAATTATTTGGAGACTCCTGTGCCCATCTTCGTGTTGGTCGGCCCCTGCCTCTTCTTCCTGGTACCATACCTTCTGCTATAATTTTTTCCAATCCATCATGGCTCTTGAAATGACCCGAGTATTTCAGCTTCCGAGACAGGATGCTGTTTATTAGCAAATCTTCCTATAGCTAGGGAAAGAAAATGCAAAATCTGTAACCAAACCAGAAAGGCAACCGTCCTGTGGTGTTCTTTGGACAACAGGATGTTCCCAGACTCAAAATGAATGGCAGGGACATCAAAAGAGACAGCAGACTGTGGTACCAGGGAATTACCTTTGACAGAAGTTTGTCTTTCAAAGATCACATAGATGAGGTTGTGACAAGAGCTCAAAAAAGGTCTAAATGCACTAAAGATTATGGCAGCGCTGGACATGGAGCAGAGAATGCTGTTCACACTTTACCAGAATTTAATCATCTCAGTGATTGATTATGGATCAGGGTTACTCACTGTCTCGAAGAGTCAGCTAGAGAAACTGGAGCGAATATGAAGCTATGCGGTTGATTCTGGGTTGTACAAGAGACCCCCTGACTGTGTGCATGTGATACATCCTTGCATTGCCCAACTATTGCAGATAGGGCTAAAGGTGCTGCAGGCTGAGTAGCTGCAGACATGGAACACCCTTTGTACCAAGCTTTGGCTGCAGGCAAGGATGAGAGGCTGAAAAGGTGAAAATCGTAGATGGCTCAAGCAGAAGACACAATAAAAGACAAGTATGCATGCTGGAGAACATTGGGCAAGGAGAGTGGGTCAGAGTACCAGCGGAAAAGTCTGACCTGTGTAGGGTTATGATCACATTGGACCGGGTGTGCAGAGAGTGGCCAGCGGGTGCTTTGGAGGTTAAAGTCCAACAGTTGATTCACGACTTTTCACGCCCAGATGATCTGATTATCTATACAGATGGTTCGATGTTGAGAGGAAAGAGAAGTGCCTAGAGGTTCGTAGCGAAAGCAAATGGAAAATCTTTAGTGCAAGACAGCCTAGCTTATGACACCACATCTATCATGAGAATGGAGGTGGAGGCGGTAACTGAAGCACTCAGGTGGCTAGAGAATAAGATGCATACACAGGTCGTAATTGTAACAAACTCTAAAAGCATGCTGAAAAAAAGGTAAAGACGGGGATGCTTCGAGCAGAGTGGAAAGATCACAGGTAGTGAGAACACTTTGGATCTTTTCTCCAGGCCATGCCAGCGTGACGGGTAATGAACAGGCAGACATACTGGATCTGCACCACTCGGTAGTGAATTGATACATGACAGGACAGATGTGGTCAAGGTCCTTTGGAAAAAAAAGCAACTGAATCAGTAGAGAAAGAAGATTATTATGGTCTGGAGAGAATGAGGCACCTGGGTGTAATTAGAGGGTTTGGCCGGCTGACTACTTCTTCACTTCCTCTTTTCCCGCTGTGGGTGTCGAGGGAGATATAAGGTTCTGTTTCTAGCTCTTCTGGCTGCCTCGACCATAGGCACATCGTGCTGTTGTAGAGTTTCCCTGATGTTATCCTTCCATCTTGTTCTTGGTCTACCCCGTGCTCTACGTCCTTCTTCTCTTTCCATGTATGCTTTGTATGGTATGGTGTCACAAGGCATTCTCTCTAAGTGGGCAAACCATTTCACTTGCTGTCTTTGTATGTAATCCAGAATTGGTTCTGTGCCGACTTGTTCTCTTATGATCTCATTCCTGATCTTATCTCTTATGGTCACTCCTACAGCCCTTCTCAGACATCTCATTTCCGTGGTTACTAATTTTCTTTTATGGTTTGTTGTGAGTGACCATGTCTGGCACTGGTAGCACAGAGTTGGAATAAATATGCTTTGAATAAGATGTCTCTTTGTGTTGATTGGGATTGTCTTATGCTGTAAGAGGGGGGCTAGCTGTCCCAATACTTGGTTTGCTTTACTGCATCTAATGTCAATTTCTTTATCCAATTTCCCATCTTCGGTAAATGTAGTTCCCAGATATTTAAACTCAGATGCCTGTTTAATGTCTGACTACACTCAGAGAAAAGGCAAGACGGACATTTAACCTTATTGTGACCGGTACCATCAGTATTGGAACAATATTCAACAATATTTGGTGAAACTGGATGTATCTTTTTGTTTTTTTTGTGTTCATTGGCTATACACTCCACTCCAGTGGAAAGTTCTAGTTGTACATCCACTTCTAGACTTCATCTGTTTTACAGGTCTGGCTTTTTTTGTATGCAGATGTTGGGTCCCTCCCTCAGACAGATGCACTCCATCTTCAAAGCAAGTACCCTTAATTAACCCCTTCTGTGGCGTGCATCTTGGGGGGGGGGGGGGGGGGGGGGGGCAGTTGGTCTATTCTGTTCTATCCCAAAAATAGGATGCCCCAGGACCTACATGGGGTAACTGGATGTATACATCATCATCAAGTGCCTTACCAGCTGGCATAGGTGTTCATGCATCAACAGATCTCAGTATTTGGTGTTCTGGATCGATTCCACTGATGATTTTCCTCCATGCCACTGTCTTGAGCCATCCAATATCATTTCTCTTGGTCTGTCTCTACTACTAGTGATCTTTCCAGTCATCACAGTATTTTCAAGTGTTCCTTTTCTCATCACATGACGAAAGAATTTTGTCTGTCACCTCCTCACTGTTGTTTATGTAATGCTCTACTTTCATTAGCCAATTTCAGGCAATCATTGTTAATTATTCTGGCAGTCCAAGGTATTTGCAACATTCATCTCAACTGCCTCTAAATTCTTCTTAATTTACTTGCTCAT